GCAGGAGCAGGAGCAGGAGCAGGAGCAGGAGCAGGAGCAGGAGCAGGAGCAGGAGCAGGAGCAGGAGCAGGAGCAGGAGCAGGAGCAGGAGCAGGAGCAGGAGCAGGAGCAGGAGCAATCTTTGATATCATGACTGAAATTTCTGTCAAACAGATCAAACAACCAGAAGATGACAAGGTGCTGCTGCTGCTGCTACTCTTCCTTCGTTCCTCCTCCCCTCCCTTCCTCCTCTTCTTTCTCCTTCCCTCCTCCTCCTCATCCTCCTGCTTCCTCCATTCAGGTACTTATCTTTCTCTCAGTGGTTCACTGGGTCCGTCGAGCTGTGCGGAGGAACACATCTCTCAAACACCCGACAAGCTGAAAGTTTCGCGCTAGTGCAGGTCAATCCCTCTCGCCTCCTCTTCCTCCTCCTTCCTCTCCAACTCTTGCTCCCTCCTACTTCCTTTCTCCTCCCCTTGCTCCCCCTTCCCCTCTCTCCTCCCTCATCTTGTCTCTCTCCTCTGCCCTCTATCTTGTCAGTTCCTTCGTTTCTTCCTCGCACTTTTGTGCCCTCCCCTTCCTCCCCTTCCTCCCCTTCCCTTCTCTCTCTCTTCTACCCTCCCCTCCCTCCCTCCCTCCCCTCTCCTATCCCTCATCCTACTGCATTTTCTTTCCCCCACCTTTTCCTCTGCTCTGCTCTGCTCTGCTCTGCTCTGCTCTGCTCTGCTCTGCTCTGCTCTGCTCTGCTGTCTCCTAATCTCCTCTGATCCTTCTGCAGGAGGAGGCTGTTGCCAAAGGAATTCGTCGCATCACGGCAGTTACCAAGGATCTCGCAAAACAGGTGAGCAGCTTATCCAACAGACTTCTTATCCTCTTCACTTCTTTTCCTCTCTTTTCTTCTCCACTGTTTTCGCCTGTCTTTCCCTCTTGACTCTTTTCTCCTTTCATCTCATCTTCCTTCTCCTTCTCTTCCTTTCTAATCTTCCTCTACAACAATCTTCCTCATCCAACAACAAACAATTACGCATACATGGTCTTGTTCTCGTTCATTTTCCTCCTCGTTCTCTCCTTCTATTTTCTACCTTCCACTTGTATGACAGTACTGGTGACCAGGCCATTGAGAAAGGGCACGATCTAGAGGTAAAGCTCCTGTCTCCTCGCGTCAATTCTCTCCTCTCCTCTCCTCTCCCTTCTTTTCTCTTCCCCCTTCCTCCTCTGCTTCCCTCCCTCATGCTCCTCTCAGTCGCGTGTCCGCGCTGCTGGCAACGGAGAGTCTCTAGATCAGCTCGGCGTGACGCTCAACAACCTCAGACAGGAGCTCGACGCTGCTGTGAGTCAAACTCTTCTCCTGCTCCTCCTGCTCCTGCTCCTCCTGCTCCACCGCCTCTTTCTCCTCCTTCCCCTTCTCCCTTCCTTCTCCTCTCTCCTTCTCCTTCTCCTTCTCCTTCTCCTTCTCCTTCTCCTTCTCCTCTTCCTCCTCCTCTTCTTCCTCCTCCTCCTCCTTTCTGCTCCTGCTCCTGCTCCTGCTCCTGCTCCTGCTCCTGCTCTTCCTGTTCTTCTTGTTCTTCCTGCTCCTCCTCCTTCACCACCGCTACCGCCATTGCGTCCTCTTTTCCTTCTCCAATCACATTCTACCTTGACTTTGTCCCCTCCCCTGTTCATCCTTGTGCTCTTCTTCATGTGCAGCTCCTGGTTGACCTGATGCCCTGCAGGTCATTTCGGCTCCTCTCAAGTCGCAGCTGAGGGGCGAGCTGGAAGTGAAAAGCAAGGTGACCAGGAAGAGAAGAGGAGGGGAAGAAGCGAAGAGAGGAAGGCAGGGACAGGACAGGACAGGACAGGACAGGACAGGGACTGACAATGATCGCAGGCTTACCTTGCTGAGAAGAAAAGCTTGCTGCCTCGATGATCAACAAGCAGATCGAGAAGGTGAGGGTCGGGTGAGGGGAGGCTGCCAGAGGAAGAAGGGAGATGGATGGAGGGACAGGGGTTGGAGGGGGACAGGAAGGCCGAAGATGGTTGAGCAGGATGGCGAGCAGGAGGACTTATGTCATGAGCAGGCGACGGCAGACCTGAAGATGGTGGGAGATGCGAAGTTTGCGATCTTGAAAGTTGAAGGAGGTGGAGACGCGAAGCAGCTCAAGAGCATCATGCAAGCCCTAAGCAAGTCGTCGCCTGGTCAAGCTTTGCTGCTGATCGCTGAGGTAGGACGAGGAGAGAAGAGAAGAGAGAGGAAAGGGACGAGGAGAGAAGAGAAGAGAGAGGAAAGGGACGAGGAGAGAAGAGAAGAGAGAGGAAAGGGACGAGGAGAGAAGAGAAGAGAGAGGAAAGGGACGAGGAGAGAAGAGAAGAGAGAGGAAAGGGACGAGAATAGTAGGACGAGGAGAGAAGAGAAGAGAGAGGAAAGGGACGAGGAGAGAAGAGAAGCGAGAGGAAAGGGCAGAGAATAGGAGGAGGAATCAGGGAAGACAGATCCATGAGAACGAGGATGAGAAGGGCAGAATGAGAGGAAGGGAAGAGGAGGAGGAGCATCTGACTGGGGAGCAGGAGGACGGGAAAGCTTTCTTGCTTGCACAAGTCCCGGCAGAACTTGCCAACGTGCTCAAGGCCAACGAGTGGCTGTCGGAGGCCCTCGCTGTGGGAGGAGGACGAGGAGGAGGAAAAGCTGACTCCGCTCAAGGCCAGGTGAGAAGATGGAGGACGAGCGGGGAAGGGTAGAAGAGGAGTGGGGAGGGGGATAGATAGAAGAGTAGCAGGAGCGGGAAGAGGACGTGGAGGAGGAGGAGGAGGAGGTGTTGAAATGGTGACGATGAAAGCAGGTTGACTCGAACAAGTTGGAGGAAGTCAAGAAGAAGGCGGAGGAGGTGGCGAGCAGTCAACTCAAGTGAGAACTTCAGCAAGTCTTGATAGGAAAAACTTTATCAAACGACTTAACAAGATTTACAAAAGATACAAGTGGAAATCTCCTCCTCCTCCTCCTCCTCCTCCTCCTGTTATCACTTTCTCCTTTCCCGTTCGCCCCTCCAACCTCCCTCTGCTCAGCCCTTTACATTCTGACATAAATCACTCCTTAGCATTCTTCTCCAGCACAACCATTCACACGTCTCTCCCCTGCTGCTGGATTTCTTTCCATCGCTTCCTCCACCTGCTCCTCCCCCTTCTCCACGTCCACCTTCTCACCCTCACCCTCGTCATGACCGTTGCTCGCATCCCCTGCTGGATCGATTTCCTTGTCCCTTTCGTTCCAGAACTGCAGCGCTCCTAGAACAAGGTCACTCTGCAGCTCAGGAGCTTCAGGCTCGGGTGCGATCTGCTTGAGGGGAGTGGGAGGAGAGCTGATGATGATGTTGTTAGCCGACGACGTCCTTACGAGATCCTTCAACAGCACAGTGAGCGGAGACCAGAGCGAGGCTGGAGGTGGAGTGGGGAGGAGGAAAGTGATCGGAGTGGGTTAGGAGAACACAGGGAAGTGACCAAAGGAAGCAGGACCGAGGAGGGCAAGGAGAAGAGAAGAGAGGAAGGATGGTAGCGGTTAGGAGGTGGAAGTGGGGGGAGGGGGTCATACATGTTCTCCTGTGGGACCATCATCGAACAGCAGACCATGACCGAGTGCCTTCCCCTCGATCCAGAAGGTTTTCATCAAACCCTTCCCCTTGACCTCGATGTCTCCTCGCGGTAGGAGCACAATCTCCTTCGCCCAGTCGTAGTTCGAGTTGGCTGCTTGCACCTCAATGAGCTTCGCCGTCCTCTGAGAGCCCGTCAGACTTCGAAAGAAGGAAGAGGGGGGCAGGACAGAGGCAGAGGAGAAAGGTGGTAGAGTGTGAGGAATGGCATGTGCTGAGAGGACACAACTTAGCAAGTAAACATGTAAAGAGGGAAGAGGGGAGGGGAGCGAGGCAGAAAGCGGAACTGACCAAAGAGCAGTGGATTTTGCTTGGGAGAGAGTTCGATTCCATCCTCGACGCAGTGTTCACCGTGTCCCCAAAGAGAGTATACTTAGGCCGCCTCGTCCCCACCACGTTGGCCACGATTGGGCCCGAGTGGATTCCGACGCGGATCTGGACGTATCCTTTCTCAGGTGCTTCTGTGTCGATGAGGGTCGAGTTGGCGGCATAGAGAGCTTCGATAGCAAACCTGGCGATGAGGAGCGCGTGCTGATGTTCCTGCTCCTCGACGAGGTTGGTGATGGCCATGTAGGCGTCGCCGATAGTTTCAAGCTTGTAAATGCCGAGCTCATGTGAGAGACGGTCAAACACGGAGTAGAGTCGGTCAAGCATGTCAGAGATTTTCCCAGGCGCGAGATCGCATGACATAGTGGTGAAGCCAACGATGTCAGAGAAGAAGATGGTGACTAGGTCCTTGTGCTCAGGCTCAACCTTTCTGCCCTCCTGCAGAGCCTCAGCGATGTGCTTGGGGAAAAGGTCGTAGAGCAGCGCGTTTGACCGATTCTCCCACTCCTCATTCGAGTCAACGGAAAGGAGGCGAGAGACGCTGTTTGATCGCGACCTCCTGAGCTTTGAGCGCGACGAACGAATGCTTCTGTCCGTCGCCAGCGAGCCTTGAATCTGTCCATGCACGTCAAACTGCTCCTCCGCATCCAGAGCTCGCAGCCTCCTCTCGATCTCGTCAAAGTGCGGCCGAGCTTCCGCATGCTTGTTCCAGCAGTCCTTCATCAAGCTCGCTGCGTCCTTGGGAACAGCGGGCGGAATGTAAGGCCTTTTCTCTACCTCTCTGTCAACATTTGCGACCTCCTCCAGCACCTTCGCTATGTCCTCCCCTTCGTACGGATCCTTTCTACTGTAGACTTCTGAGAGGAGGATGCCGAAGGCGTACACGTCCGAGGCTGGCGTGCTCTGCCCTCCCCTTAGCAGCTCCGGCGCCATCCAGAGAGGAGTGCCGAAGGTCGACTTCGTCCGCCTACCAAATCGCTTCTTCTGCGTGAAACCGAAGTCTGCGACCTTTGCGCGAAAGCTCGAGTCCACGAGCACGTTCTGTGCCTTTAGGTCTCCGTGTATGATCATCGGACGAGCCGCATGGAGGAAGCGGATCCCTTGCGCGATGTCGCAGAGGATGGGGAGGATGAGCTCTCCCTCTATCACAGCTGTGTCGTTGTGGAGAAGGTCGTAGAGGGATCCGTACTCCATGCACTCCATGACAAGCATCGGCTCTCCGTGTCTGTCAACCACTGCTCCCATGATTGTAGTGATACAAGGATGCCTAAGCTTCGAGAGCAGGCGCATCTCCTCTATGAACTCATGCTTCATCTGAGTGTGCTTGTCGCCCATCAGCAACTTCATCACTGAGCAGCCCAGCTTCTGTGCTTTGCTTCCTCCCGAGCCCGACGATGGAGGTGAACGGTTCGAGGAGAACGATGAGTTGAAGGATGACATTCCTGTAGGCGTCATGGGGCCGGCAGGACAATCCTGCAACGCCTGCACTGTTACCCCAACCAGGTTGTCCGATCCACGACGAACGATCCCTTCTTCCTCTGTCTTGTTCAAGCTGCTCACCCGGGTTAAGGATCCAAAAGAATTCGATGACATCGGCCGGAAAAATCCACTCTGGGTACCGCTTTCAGGTCGAAGCAAGCCGCTACCGCCCGAGGAGTAAGGGTCCATACTTCGGAATGCAAAGGCTGCGTCGCCCGAGGCAAAGATGGAGTCGCGTTTCCTCCCTTTGCGAGGAGGAATCACTCTCTTGACTGCGACGTTCGTCCCTCTGTACTCTGCCTTGAGCACGATGCCAAAGGTTCCTCTTCCAAGCACCTCAATAGGCTCTGCAAACTTGAGCTCATCTCTCCTGACTTCCCACAATGAGTCTGACTGTTTCCTCTTGATCCCGATGTAGGTCCAGCCGAGGAAGATGAAGATAAGGATTGCTGCTCCAAATGTAGAACCAGTAACCATCACAATCTTTCCAGTGCTCCAGGACGTGTCCACTGGTGGACGGACGCTGCAAGGGCAAGGACCATCGTAGAGGTTAGGATCGTATTTGGGAGGAGGCCAGAGCGGGTCGTTAGAGCAACGAAAGACGTTGTACTGACATCCTCCACTGAATGACGCCATGGCATGCGTGAAAGTCTCAGTGGTCCCACTCGTACCAGTTCGAACTGCACGGAGCACGGGCTTTCTGGGAAGATTGATCCCAGGATTGACTGCTTGCAGCCTTGAGTCATTCCAGCAAACAATTTCCCCAGCAAAAAGACTGCTAATCAAGTTCCTCGTGACAAGGAAAGACGAAATATTGGCTTCAGCGAGGTTGGCAAACATTACGACAGAGCTTGCTAATACTGGCACAAGAGTGAGCCCAAGGTCCCTATCATATGTCAGAACACTAAATGATCGTTTTACAGCCTCTTACTTGGAGCATGGAGTCAAGAAGTGCAGAATGTCTTGGTCGTTATAACTCGTCGCGTCGGACCCCGCATAATCAACTCTGCAGTTTAGCATGTCTTGCAACCCCACGCCTGACGATTCGAATAAGATAAACAGCTCGCAAGGGAACAAGCGTCAACCTGAACCACCACCCGCATAGTCTACTTGAATTTGCTTGCTGTAAATTTCTTCCCTACTGTTGTATGCCGCGTTCATGGCATCATAGACACCCTTGGCCAGCGAGCTCCCTGATCCTCTCAAGGTGATCGGAAAGTCACCACTGAGTGTAATGTTGAGAACTGAAACTCCGTTGCATTTCATGGTGCTTAATCTATCCGTGACCTGGGATCACAGTAACTTCAGTTTGAAGGATGAACAAGCAATCAGCATGTTCGCATGCAAAACTTACATATCTTTGTAGTTCACTGGGTATGACTCCGAAATGATTTGAATGCGCAACCTGTTTCACGATAAGAAACACTTAGGAGCAGTTCACCTTAGGATTTACCGCAGCCGCTGCATCGCTACTGACGACCCACGTCAAGTAATCGTAGAGGGCCCTCACTTGCTGACACCGCAAATTGTCTCCTTTGACGTTGGTCGGGAAAAAGATGTACCTGTCAATTTTCAAAGAGCAATTTCCAAGTGATGCATGAGTTGGCTTACGTCAAAGTTGTGATTGGCCAGGCGTTGGGAATGTTGGGGTCAAGGATACTAGAGCATATTCCGACATCTGGACACTCTCCTAACGATTGGTTCTTGAATACTCTCTTCGGTTGCTCTGCAATGAGTGCCTCCTGAATCGTCCGCACATTTACAGAGACCTGGACAACAAGATTCAGAGCGACAACAAGATTTAGAGCGACAACAAGATTTAGAGCGACAACAAGATTTAGAGCGACAACAAGATTTAGAGCGACAACAAGATTTAGAGCGACAACAAGATTTAGAGCGACGACAAGATTTAGAGCGACGACAAGATTTAGAGCGACGACAAGATTTAGAGCGACAACAAGATTTAGAGTGACAACAAGATTTAGAGCGACAACAAGATTTAGAGCGACAACAAGATTTAGAGCGACAACAAGATTTAGAGCGACAACAAGATTTAGAGCGACAACAAGATTTAGAGCGACAACAAGATTTAGAGCGACAACAAGATTTAGAGTGACAACAAGATTTAGAGCGACAACAAGATTTAGAGCGACAACAAGATTTAGAGTGACAACAAGATTTAGAGCGACAACAAGATTTAGAGCGACAACAAGATTTAGAGCGACAACAAGATTTAGAGCGACAACAAGATTTAGAGCGACAACAAGATTTAGAGTGACAAAAAGATTTAGAGCGACAACAAGATTTAGAGCGACAACAAGATTTAGAGCGACATGAAATTCCAGGTGCACAGCAGATTCCGAGCACACGTTGAGAGGTGATTACCTTTTTCCCGTCTGCTCCGTCAAGGTCGGGAACCACTAACCTACCATTCATGACCTCGGAGTGGATTCTACTATCGTATCCTTGATATCCAATGGAGTAGGGATTCTCTAAGACATAATTGATCACGTCCCCCGTCGTGGCCTTGAGAGTCAGAGCTTCGCAAGTCGTCGGTGCTGTGGCAGATTGCGCCGACGCAACTTGCGAGGCGAACCAGATAATGCATGTAAGCATCCAACGCTTCATGGTGCTTTGACTCAGAGGATGTCGAGGTGTAAACGAAGATAGGATCACTCTTGAAGCATGCGCTATCGGTTCAAGCAGAAGCTCGTCCTGGACCTTCCGACAACGCTGCCACCAGGGAGGTCGGCTCTCCCTACATTCACCATGTCGTGCGCTGGCGTGCGGTATCCTGCAGACGCCTTGAGTTGCAAGCATCATTAAGATCAAAGAGACTTCACAAGGACATCGCAATATTGTTGAGGAAACCTTTGGCATGCGGAACAAGAACTAGCGCACACCTTCATTGACATATCGAATGAAGCCCTCAACAACAATGAATGCACTATTATCTTGTCATGGGCCTAGCAAGTCACCCCTCACTACGATCTTTTCATGGCAACGCTTCAGAAGCCGAAATAACAACGTGCCATACTGAAAAGGACACTTTTCTTGACTGTGCTCTCCAGTCCATCCAACTACAGTGTGCACGACTTTGAAGCTCGTGTGCGGCCTGGAATGCCTGCTCCTTGCTGTCTCTCTCTCCCTCTCTCTCAAAAGCATCTTCTCTCTTTCCTCCATTCTTTATCTCCCCGTCCCCCTCTCCTGTCCTGCCCTCTACCTCGGTCAAGTCTTTTTCTGTTCGCAACGATCCCGGCATGGCAGGGACGGGGGTTTGTGGGGTCGATCTGACTGAATGAGGTAGGTGGGGTGGTGATAGCAGTCAAAACGAGGGGTTAATTTCCGGATTGTCTAGATCACAGGGGTGGTTTTGAGACACTGGTTGGTGGGTAGTCAAAAGAAGAGGTGGGGGTGGGGAAGAACGACCAAAAGATAGAGATTGGAGGCGAGCAGGCAGGGGTGGTAGAGAGACGTAGAGGAACGGGGGGTTGAATCAGTGAGGGGGTAAGGGGGATCTCTAGGGGTGGTCAAGCAAGGAGCATGAAAAGGGTAGGTCCTCGTAGGGGGTGTGGTACAGTCATCCGACATTTGGCAGTCACCCACAGGGGTAGGGAGGCCATGAAGGTGAGTAGAGACAGGTAGGTAGTGGTACTAGGTAGGTGGGGGTACTGGGAAGCATACGGGTGGTAATGGTAAAGGCGTAGAATTATTAGGACAACCCCGTGAGAGCTGATGACCCCAGTACCCCTGTAAATACAATCAAAATGACGGGTGCTATTGAGGGCTCTTCATGCGAAAACAGCTCTTTTTGGTTCTGTTGTACAGCGAATGGACCAGAGAGGATGTAGTGGCAGCAAGTCCGCCTCAGAATCTTGGTGCATTTTGCTAGAGTCCGAGTCGCCGTGACTGATCATATCGGACCCGGTCGGTCACCGCCGTTCCGAGAGTCCGAGCGGCCCGGTCCGATCCGATCAGTCACGGCTGAGTCGACTCGCCCGGAGTCGCGGCCCCCCGATGCCGGGCCGGACGGAGTCCGGACGAAAAACTTGAAAGAAAGAAAAAGATCACTAGGAGTTTGAAAGCTGATGTGAGGAGCCGTTTCAGAGACTGAATTTGACTGCCGGGCAGAGCCCGCTGAGCCTGCGCTCCCCCGCCATGATCGGATGACTGGGAACCGGGCGCGACGACTAGCTGAGCGAGTGAAATGAAGTGACGCATGAGTAACGCCTGTAGGAAACTTTCCTTGCGCCATCAGGCAGGCGACATGCAACATCGAGAGTCATAGATTAAGACATCACTGTTTCTAGCTTGTTGACTTCTCACACTGAAACTGTTCCTCTGCTGTTTTAGCTCCCCTTCGCACCATCTCAACTCTGTCAAGGTGCAGTTGAGGTTACTCTACAACCTCGGAGCATGGGCTCACTGACACGGCACGCCTTTAGCCCGCCTTCGCTCGGACAGCCATTCAACGTGCTGGAGAAGAATCATGGGAAATGCAAACTCTTCTCAAGACGAAAACTTCGGTACATGCAGACAAGCATACAAGCAAGAAAAGAAACGAGAAGAGAGAGAGAGAACGAGGGAAGCAGGACGAGGAACCAGAAGAGAGCAAAGGGATATCGTGACATCACATTCACTGTCGTGCTGACAGGGATTCTTCAATGTTGCTCCGAGAGTAGGGAGAATACTCGCTTTATCGGGTCACAGCCTGTGAGTCAAATTGCACCTTTTGCTCTGCTCATTGCCTTCACTCTGCAGGTCCAAGCAGCTTCTTCCTGCGGCATCGGCGTTGGTCTGGACCCAGTCATGATAGCAGAGAGGAAGTAGGAAGAGTTCTCTCCTTCTCTGCTTCTCCTCCCTGTCGTTGTCTCTGCGTGACGTGCGAGCAGAGGCGCGTGGGTGATCGCTCTCGCCGAGGGAGGCTCCGCACATGTGGAAGGTGAAGAGCAACGAAGGGAGAAGGTTGTGGAGTGCAGAAGCTGACGTGCAGGTGGTAGGCGGCTTGCGGATCGGGGATCAGATAGTGAAGATTGATGACCTTGATGTTCACATGCTAATGAAGAATGTAAGAGAAGCGAAGACAGGACAGGACAGGACAGGACAGGACAGGACAGGACAGGAGGACAGGAATTGAACAGAATGGCAGGGCAGGGCAGGGCAGGGCAGGGCAGGGGCGGGGCAGAGGGAGAGGCAGTTGGTAATCAGAGCTGGGCAAAGAAAAAGAAGAGGAGAGCAAGTTTCAGGGCTCGTTTTTCTTATTCTTGTTCAAGTCTGCGAATGACAACGGCACTCAATGCGCGTTTGCTTTGGCTAACGCTCTCCTCGGCGACTATGGTCTTGTCTTGATTATCCATTTACGTCCTTCTCCTCTTGTCGTTCTTGTTGCTTGCTCCTTCCATCTTCTTGTCATTCTTCTTATCCCTTCTTCCCATTTCATACCTCTCATCGGCCTCTTTTGCTGCAGGAACGCCCGTGAGAATCGAAGTACTCCGGCAAGGAAAAGTGATGCGATGTGCGATGCACAGGGCCCCTCTACCCAAACAGTGCAAGGTAAACTCAAGCACTTCTGCTGCGGCTGCTGCTGCTGCTGCTCCTCCTCCTCCTCCTCCTCCTCCTCCTCCTCCTCCTCCTCCTCCTCCTCCTCCTCCTCCTCCTCATCGAAAGGACTTGTCCGTTTACACCTGTACTGTCATGACATTACATGACTTTGATCTTCACTTTGTGCTTGTTGTTTCTTGTCTCACTTGTGGTGCAGTGGATCCGGACGTAGGAGAGGAGGACAAAAGAGTACTCTTGTCTCTTTATTTAAAGACAGCACAACGCCCTTGCTCGCCTTCACTCGTCTCTTTATTCAAAGACAACTCTCCGTCTCTCCCTCAACTCCGCAGCAGCGCTCTCCTCTCCTCCGCCAGCGCTCTCCTCCTGCTAACCGTCATCTTCACAAGTCCCCCGCGCATGCAGCACCTGCGTAAGCGAGCGATGATGCAGGCGAGCGGAGCGATACAGATCTGTGAGGAGAGGCCAAGTGTGAGGGGAAACAAAACAGAAGATGTTGAAACGGAGCTTTGACAGGAGCAGCAGCAGCAGCAGCAGCAGCAGCAGCAGCAGCAGCAGCAGGAGCAGAAGCAGCAGGAGCAGGAGCAGGAGCAGGAGCAGGAGCAGGAGGAGGAAATCAATCTACTGACATATAGAGGGGATGGGCGGGGTTGGATGTAGGGGGGTAAAGAAGTAGATAGTGCATGTGAAGATATAAGGTAAGAGGGATCAAATGGAGCAGGAGCAGGAGCAGGAGCAGGAGCAGGAGCAGGAGCAGGAGCAGGAGCAGGAGCAGGAGCAGGAGCAGGAGCAGGAGCAGGGCGAGTTTGCGTCAAGGGAGCCGAGGGCGAGGAGCGGGGAGGTGTCGTACGAAAACAGCGAAGAAGGCGACGAAAGTCCACACTGAAGTCTCTTGGACGATCTCATCCGTCCTGTCCTGAGGAGGATAGAGGCTACTGCCTCGTCAGTTCCCCTTCTTCTCTCCCTCCTTCCCTTCCTCTGTCTCTACTTCTATCATTTTCCCGCAAACCCCCAGCATTCATCCCCTCTTCCTCTTCCTCTTCCTCTTCCTCTTCATCGTCACCTTTCAATGTCTTTCTCCCTCGCTTGTTGCAGCGTCACTGACGTGGTTGCAAGCTGAAAGCAGAGCTGGGGCAGGCAATGTCAAGTTAACCCCTCCTTTCCTCCATCCTCCCTTCACTCCCTCCCTGCTTCCTCCTCCATCCAGCCTCTTTCCCGTTGCTTCCCTTCCCTCCCTGACCTCCTCACTGAAGTTGCTCGGCAAACCCACAATCGGCTTTCCCCTGCACCATAGTTAGTTCCCTTCCTCCTCCCCTCGCTCCCTGTTTCTTCCACCCCATATCCTCTCCTCCCAAACTCCAAACCCTCCCTTCATCTCCTCCTCTTTTCTCCTTCACTCCCTCGCTCATATCCTCCCCTCCTTCCCATCCCCTCTTTCTCAGACCATTTCCCCTCTCACATCTTTTCATATCTTTCCTTCATATCTAGTTTGCTGCTTCCTTCCCCTTCAGTCTTTATCCTCACCCGTTGATGACAAATGTCGGCGTCATTCCTATCCCCATGTAAGATGAAAACGCGTAAGACGACGCTACGAGTCGCTCCCCCTGCCGCAATCGTTCAGTTCCTCCTCTCCTCTTTATCGTCTTCCCCCCTTCTCCTTCCCTTCCTCCTCCTCTTTCTTCCTCTTTGTCTCTCTCCCCCTTCCCTTTCCTCCCCTTGCGCACATTCTCTGCCGCCTCACCTCCATGTTCGCACATCCCACCAGCACGTTGAGGTCCATCTCCGCTTCCTCCGCACACTCTGGCGCCTGTCATGCTCATCAGACCAGCCAGCAGAATCTGAGGGAGTTGGGGGTAGAGAGGGATGAAGGAGAAAGAGATGGAGAGGGCATGGACACAGCAGAGGGGAAGATCAGCAGAGGAGACAATCAGAGTAAGAGAGTAAGAAAGAGAAGCGATAGGGAGGAGGGAAGGACCATCATCGGGATTTTCTTCACGTCCTTGTCCATGCATTTGAAGAATCGGAGATATCTGCGTGACATTTAGAACGACAGCATCTCAACAAGAACGAGAGACTGATGACAAGACAAAACCAATATGATAGCAATAAGATCAAGAATGAAGCAAGGTTTGTGATAAGAATCAAGAGAGGGATCATACTGATAATTCTTGGGATAGTGTTGCCGAGCACAGAGTTCAAGCCTTTCACCTACAAGCTATTTTCCTGTCATCACAATCCTCTTCTCATACTATTCCTCTTGTCCCCCCCCCCTCCTCCTATTTCTTGTCGCCTTCGCGTACCTCGGAAGGGCCGTGAATCGCCTTGAGCCATGGGTGTCGATAGGTCCCATTGTTAAGCCCCACCTGCTCCTCCTTCAGCTGCTAATCTCAACAACCCCTTATTTCCTCCTCTCCCCTGTTCCCCAACGTCTTCCCCCTTCCACTCTCTCTGTCTCTCTCTCTCTGTCTCTCTCTCACGCACCATGTGAATGCGAAAGTCCATTCTCGCTTCCAGCGCCTTCCCGCGGTAACTGCCGCCCGACTCAGGTCTTCTCCCGACTCAGGTCTTCTCTCGTGAGTCACTCACGAGCATTGAAAGTCGCAGGTGATGTTGTCGGCGAGTTTCTCCATCGACTTGGCGCACCTGAAGCCCATCAGCAGAAAGAGGAGGAGGGGGAAAGGAGGGGAGGAGAAGGAAGAAGAGCAGAGGGAGAAGGAGATAGAGGCTCAGGTAGAAGAGGATGACAATCAAGACAGAGGAGATACAAGAGCAAGAGGGAGTGAGACAGGAAGCAAGGAGTCGAGCAAGAATGTGGTAGTGGAGTCCTTGTGGGGTCGAGAAGGATCATCGAAAGAGCAAGGAAGGACGTTACACAAGCGCTTACCACGGGCATTTCCCCATGACGTACATGTCAAGTCGGAGAATCTTGAGGGAGGGAGTGGGAGGAGGGCAAGAAGCTTCAGGTTGTCAGTCGAGCTGTTGCGGTTTGAAGCTTCACCTGGAGCTGAGTCTTCTAACGGCTGATCGATCCCTCCCTCTATCTGTAGCATCGTATCATCGCCCTCCTCCCTCCTCTCCCTCCCTCTCTCCCTCCTCTCTCTCCCTCCCTCCCTCCCTCCCTCCCTCCCTCTTTTCCTACCTCCCTCCCTCCCTCCCTCCCTCCCTCCCGTTCCTCTGCTCGTGTTTCTGCCCTCCCCGTTTCTCTCTTGACTTTCTTCCTGACGCTCGCATGCTCTCTGAGCTACTTTTCTTGCTCCTCGTCCTCCATGCTAAATTTCATCCTCTGCTCTCATCCCCTGTATTTATCCCCCCGCTTCTTGCTCCGTCCCTCTGGTCTTCCTTCCTCTTCGCTCACCTGCCAGCGCGCCTGCACGTCTGCGATGACTTCGTATCCGTCGCGGGAGGAAAGGCAGGTTGCGGAGCTGCAGGGACGTGAGATTGAGGAGGAGGAGGAGGAGGTGTGTGTGTGGGGGGGGACGCGCCTGTGCTTGCCCTTGCAGGGAGAAGTGATCCTGAGCTGATCTTGCGCAGAATGGGGAGAGGGCTGAAACACATGCATTGTAAGAAGGAGCAGGAGCAGAACATAGATTTGACAAAGAACGCATCAAAACGGATATTACAAGAAACCAACAAAGGGGGAACAAAGAAAGAAGATTGTGCTAGCAAATGATGGAGAATGAATGGAGAAGGAGAAAAACAAAAGGACAAAAAGATAGAAAGGTAGACAGTGAAGGGTTCAGGACCACAGAAAATTGAGAGAGATTGAACTTCAGATGTTTTTCTTGTGGGAAAATCTTCCTGCAATCAAGCAAAATTAGATCAGACTCTTTGTGTATGTTTGAAAACAAAACACTGTTTGTCATGTCTATTCCCTTCTTTTTGTTCGATGTTTCTAACCTTGTCAATCAGTTTATCTCCATATCTTTCTCTTGCTTCCTGTTCGTCTTCCTCTCTGTTCCTCTCTGTTTTCAACGGTCTTCTATGCCTTGCACACCTACCTGCTGCTGAACCCCATCCCCTTCTTTCCACCTCTCCAGCTCCTTCTCCAACCCCCGCATCCTCGTCTTCGTCTCACCTGTGCGGCCAGTCTCCTCGCCGGATGCCGTCGGTGGTCACGATGTTGTGAAGCTTCCAGACGAACATGATGGCGCCATGCTTGGTGTCCACAGCTGCAAGCTCCCGCTGCAGGATTGGGTCATGATAGAAGAGGTGGAAGTGCCCTGAACAAACGTGAGCGAAAGCGAACAGTCAAGAGGATTAAGGGAAGCCGGAGGTGTAGATGAGCGAGATAGACGAGCAGGGTAGTGAAACACCTCTGAACAAGAACTCAAGGACGGTGGAAGGGAAGGGAGGTAGACCAGAAAAGAGCTGGGAGGAAGGCATTGATTCTAAAGTGGGAGGGCAAGAAGGGGGGGGGAGAGGGGCAGGAGGAGGAGATCCAACCTCGGCAGACAGGGCAGGGGAAGATATGGTAGATGGCATCGAAGATGGCGCGGAAGGCGGCGAGCTGGTGGGGGGTGGGCCGTTCAGGCAGGTAGACGGAGACGGTGTGCATGTAAGTCCAGTAGGCGTGTCCCAGCATCTTGCGGTCGGGCGGGAGGTTTTCAACCTCCTGCTTGTTCCAGTGCTTGCGCGTGACCTCGAGGCCCCCGGCGATGACCCAGCGCGTCTTGATGGCCCTCAAGATCGTCTGCCGCAGCTCCCCGGAGAGATGCTTGAGGCGGAACTGCTTCAACCCGCGGGAGGGAACAAGGTCGAAGTAGGCGGCCTGCAGGTCCAGCAGCGGGGGGAAGAGAGTCTTCTGACGCCATAAATGCGCAGTCACACAGTTGTGAAGCTTCCATACCACAAGCTGCGCGTCCTCTGCCGTCGCCATGGCTTCGATCTCCTCCTTCATCGTCGCGTCCTGCACGATGGCAGCAATCAGGTCTCGTCCTTCGCCGGGGTAGAGGACGGTGACGGAGAACACGAGGTTGCGAAAGTTGTCTGCGTCCGAGGATGAGAGCCTGTCAGGCAGGTACGCAGCTGTCGTATGCAGAACCGTCCAGGTCTCTCTGCCCAGGACGCGGGCGTTTGGAGGGCGAGAGGATTTATCGAGCGAGGGGACGTTGCCGTAGTCATGGCAGACGCCCTTGTCGCAAGCTGTTGCTGCTTGCAGACACGCGAGGAGCAGGAGGACGCGAGGGCTCAGCAGGCTCGACGGGATCCCAAGGGTGTGGGCATGCAGAAGCCACATCGCTGTCAACGTCCTCGTCTTTTTCTCCTGCTTACGCAACCAAGTCAATCAAAGACATGGTTTTTGAAGAACAAAAGAACAAAAAGCTCTTGGGGAAGCTTTTCTCCTAGCATCTGTCTGACCTTTCCTGAAAATTCGTTGTGTTGCAACAGCACCTTAACACTCTGGACATGAACATGAGCTTCGATCACCATCTTGCCCACATTGTTTCTTATTCACAACATTCAGGTCCCTCCGTCTCTCAACTCCTCTATCCTCCTCCATGCTCTACGTCTTCATCAGGAGTTGCTGATGTCACCCATGGACACGCTCTGAACCAAACTCGCCTCAGGACCACGGCGGTTTAGAGTCTCCTGGTTGAGGGTTTAGGGTCGGGTTTTAAGGAAGGCCAAGGTGAGGAGAGGCTTAGGGTTTAGGGTTTAGGGTTTAGGGTTTAGTGCATGTTTTCCGACGCTGAAGGAATGGGCGGAATCATCTTCGGCAACCCAGGACGACGACATGCAAGTTTTGAAGAGTAAGATTGCAAGAGTAAGCGAGCAGCATGCGTGGGAGACGGTAGCATCAAGAAGACGCCAGGGAGCCTTTGCAAAAGCAACAGGGAGAGGAGGGGAGAAACAACAAAAAGAATTTCGAACTGACTTGTTGTTTCTTGACCTGAATAAATTAGTTCTCACAGCCACGCTAACCTACCAAGGCAGCGTAGGCTCGGGAGACGAAATTGAGTTTCTCTTGAGCAAGGCAGAGGAGGAGATGGGACTGGAGATGGAAGAGGAGAGTGGCAACCAAGACTCCCGGGAGAGGTTGCCTCTCAACTCTAAAACCGAATCATGACAGGAGGAGGAAGGGAGGAGGAAGGGGGGAGTGCCGGGAGTAGGCAAGGGGGGGAGAGGGAAACGGTTTCAAAGGAAACGCAACATGTAGATAGAACATTGTATTTTTTTGATTGGATCGAGGAGATCCCATGGTCAGACAAACGAGGCGACAAGGAATTTGGCATCACTGCCCTGAACAATCGAGGAGTAAGCGGATTTTTATGCGAGAACATGATCGAAGTTACTCTCAATGAGATGAGCAAGGCTCTTCAAGGAGGAAGAGCAATACATATGGTACGCAAAGGGAGAGCTCGTGAGGACCAGCATTGAACGCGGAACATCATCTTCTTGCCAAGGGTAATATCCAGTCTGCGAGACGAGGCGTCCCGCTTGAGAGTCGGGAACAGATTTCACCTCAGCAGCTTGAGAGATGAGCAACACACCTTCCTGTTCCCAACTCTCATCCACAGCAACCACTGGATTCTAATTGCATTAAGATATGATCGGCGATGCGCGTACATCTTGGACCCCCTCTGCGAGGACAGAACGAGCACAACGAGGGACCCACGAGGGATCGAGGGAGCGAGGAATCTTGTAACAACGGGGGAGCACGCAAAAGGAGCAAGAGAAATGGCTGAGCTGACAATCGGAGTGATCGAACACATCTTTGACGATCAGACCAATGCCCCATGGCAGATACAGTGGTGCTCAGCCTTCCAACAGGAAGATAACTTCAACTGCGGAGTGTTCGCTATCCTTCACACCCTACTGCTCTGCGAGACAAATCAAGATCGGACTGGCTAGCAACGATGGAAACGAGGACAAGACTAAGACTTCCGCAAGAATGGCTGATGCAAACCAGAACACAACTGATTGCAGCTCTCACCCATCTGGAGAAGATGGAGGAAACGGCCCAGGTAATTCTGCGACTCTCTGCCGAAGGAGGCGAGGGTGCAAGAGAGCTTGAAATCGACGACAAAGCCGGAGGAGGAGGTACAGCCGAACGCAATCCAGCGGCTGATGACCTCGACGACAAAGCTTGTGGAGGAGGTACAACCAAACGCAATCCAGCGGCCGATGACCTCGACGGCAAAGCCTGAGGAGAAGGTACAGCCGATCGCAATCCAGCGGCAGGCGACCACCACGAAGCCCCAACCAAGACTTTTTGGTGAGGAAATGGAGGAGAATGCACACTCAGGAGAGAAAACCTCCCAGAGAGGGAAGGAGCGGAGGGGGAAAAGGCAGGAGGAGCAAAGGGGCAATGATTGGGCGCAGATGCATCGAAAAAGCTCAGACCCAGGTTTCCTCATCTCACAAAATGTGAATGGTTGCAATCACTTTGTTCTCAAGCACATCCTCGCATACTTAATCCAGTCCTTCCAACCTGGGGTTGTGCTACTACAAGCCTGAGAGGTAAGGGTCTCGGCCCGCGACGAGAACAACTTGATTAAGGAAGATGATCAAGGAGAACTGGGCCTGCTACAGAATCTTCCTGGGGCCTGCGAAGATCGATGCCAAGAAGGGGAAAGGAGACCTGAGGTTGGTAACGCTGGTCCACGCTTCCCTCTCGCCTTCCCCTTCCCATGCCGCTCAGGCGTGCAACAAAGAAAAGAAATATCGAAACCGAGTGTTTTCGATCAAAGTCGGAACAGGGAAAAATTCTTTCGTAGTCACGAACCTCCATCAGGTACCGGCGGAAAATGCGATTCGAGAGCAAGGGGAACTGTGGGCAGAGCTGCTACACCTCGCTCTGGGAACGAGAGAGACACACATCATAGCCGGAGACTTTAATGCAGCAAGAACCAACACAACAACACCAATGCGGAGAGGATATTCCCCCTCATCTATCACCGCAAAAGCAGATGAGAGATTCGAGAAATTCCTGGCAGACCTTTCCGCACACCGTACACTCTCATATGAACAGATCAGCGGGACAGGGACGCCATTTACCTTCTCAACATGGTACAAACAAGAATTGATAGAAGCCAAACTCGACGCAGTCCTCGCTATCCACCCCCCAACTAATGAGGACAACTTCCCCAACATCTCCCTTCAATCGTGGACGGTCGACGGCTGTGTGATAGGGGGAGCAGTTGATCACAGAGCCCTGGTGGTGCAAGTGCACACCAAGTTCACATCCGAGGAGACGCAGCTAATCCCACGAGTGGAAGTGCATCAGATGAATACACGACAGAAGAGGGGGGAAACCCCTAAAAGCAGGTCAACGTGGACATGGGTCTGAAGGAGATCATCACCAAGCCTTACACCATCCCGGAAGCCGACATCACACTCCAACCCCTCTGCGGATACAAGGCCCCCGTGTTCTTCAAGGCGATCGACAGCACCGTCATCCCAAACTTCCTCCGCGGTAGGCAGCCGTGAATCCCAGAATGCAATGGGACGCAAGAATGATTTCACTCCCAAAGAACCGATGATAAGTCAAGACATCAAGAAAAAACACCCTAACTCCCTTCGTTGCCACAAAGGCTTGGCTCTTAGACTGCTCGGCAAGATAGTCGACAATGCCGACGAGCTCACCAACCAACTCGAAGCAACCCTATCTAGCGAAGACACGAGGGGTGTTAGAGCATTTTGGAGTGCAAACCAGCAACTGATGATTGGGATCGAGCGAGAGGGGACAGATGACTGGCTCTTTCTATCACTGCTACCTGCAAACACAATCACGAAAGCAATTGTAGCACTAGAAGAATCGGATAAAACAACATGGGAGATAGCAGGATACCGTGATCTCACGGATCATCTCCCAAGGCAGAAGGTTAGAGAGCTTGAGGACGCGGACCATACACGATTCTTCTTCAGCGTCAACGCATGCACGAAACAAGGGACCTGCTCAAAATGCTCAAACATCGGATGTATGCTCCCCTTGGCTGACTCAAGCGACGAGACCATCGGAGGGGGAGGGATGACCCCGTACTGCACAAAATGTAAGTCGTTCACAACCGTGGCCCCAAGACGGATCACACCGCCTGAGGGGGTGCAGCTTTCAAGGAGACAACAACAGGAAATCACCAGACCCCTGGCACCGGGAGAGATTGATGTCTGGCTCGCCTCGGCGCCGAGACGAAAGGCTGCAGGACTTGACCTCATTTCGAACGAAGTGCTGCGGGCGCTGCCACCAGCATGCCGAGAGGAAGTTGGCAAGTTAGTCAATGCAGCCCTAGAAGGCAAAGCTGAGGTTCTCAACAAGACAGCGAGAGTACGCCTCCTGCCAAAAAATCAATTCTGTCACATTCTCGAAAACATGCGGCCTATATGCGTCATGTCAACGCTTACTCGGCTGGTTCAGGCAATCCTGGCGCATCGTCTGAGTAAGACAGTAGAAGCAAACAACGTCCTCACAAACTTCCAGGAGGGGTTCCGTCCAGGCAGAAGCACAAGTCGGCAGGCTCATCGACTGATCTCGATCGTAGAAGAAGCAGAAGAGGCCAAAACGTCCCTCATTCTCTTGTACCTGGACTTTGCGAACTTCTTTAACAATGTGGCAATCGAGGTGGTCGAGCAGGCAATGAACAGCCTAGGCTTCCATCC